TAAATCAACCATGATTTTAAACTATGTATTATCAATATTCATTATTCCAAACATGAGAAAGCATTCACCAAAAACATAACTGGAATCGAGCAAAAGGACTCCAAATCCCAACGGCCAAACCCGGAAGTGAAATGCCGGCATTATTGACTCCAGCTGTAACGCAAATTACTTGGTTCAAACAAACATTATAGTGCCACCGCAGAAACGTGACGACTGTGCAAAAATAACTACATAAAAGACGCCACTTTTACAGAAAGACTTTATACGCTATTTAAACTGCCGATTGCGAACGGAACAAACCGTGATTGAAACTAACCGTGATTCCGCTCTTTATTCGTTGCGCTAACTGTCGCCTGTTTGTGGCAGACCCGCCCTTTTAAAGCGCCAGCTTAATCCGTCAATATGCGTTTCACTGGATGGAATTTATTTGATTCCTTCGTGGTGTTTGCGTACCACTTGATACCTATGGACAAGGGATCCGAGGCTCTAATCCCTCATTGTGTCCGAGGACCGGCAACTCGAGGCATAGGCCATGGAATTGACTCCCAAGGCCAAGGCCAAGGACCAAGGACCGACTTTCGGTCCTCGAGGACCGGCTGGAGGAACACATCCCTGGTATTGATACGTGCTTTTAGCTAGATGGCAATAGATTGTGACAGCAATAATCTACAGCTTCCTTGCAGACACCTGAAGCTTTCATCCAACATTCACTCACATTAAGAATTGTTCAAAAAATCCCTGCCGTCTTTTGCTGGAAACGTTTATTCATTTGTAACCTTGACCATGTTGTACAGTATTATTTTTATGTTCAAGACAAACATGTGAAAGAAAGCCATGATTTCTTGCACCTCAGGCTGGGCCTAGAACGTGGTGACAGTGCATGGGCAGCGCTCACTGTCATCACTGGCCTGCTGGAGCGACACGGACAAGGCGGTCAAAGCAGGGAAGATTCAGAACCTTTGAGCTACCATAACACCTTTCTTCTGGTGGACCGAAATGAAGCCTGGGTGCTGGAAACAGCTGGAAGACTGTGGGTGGCACGGAAGATCTCAGGTGATTACTATTGGCTTGTTGGGCATTGTTGTCACTAAGCCATTTTTCATGAAATAATTGGTCATGTAGCAGTCACAAATTGGGCAAGTACTTATATCATTATTTTTTGAGTCTACATCACAACGACGCCAAATTCAACTTCACTGTTTTTGTCTTTCATTCATTTTCAGGCTATTGAAGCGCATAGGTGTCACAACATGTCACTGACTCATTTTGACCAATGCTGTGCATATAACTGTAGAAAAAAATGGATTTCGACAGCATGAGACATTTTAATGGAGGATTGGTTTTCCCTTCCCCATAAAATCAGCAAATTTGTAAAAAATAATGAGCAAATTTCATTGAAGGCTAAATTTACAGTGATAGTTTTGGTCTTGCTCTAAAATAAAACAAAAAACCCCTCTGGTACTCTCCTGTTTCAAAAATTACAAAACACAATGGTCTCTTGTTGTCAAGTCACATTTACTATTTATTTACAGACGCAAAACTTAATCATGTCAAGAAAAGGAAGCAAAAAGAAAAAGAAGGCAATTTTTAGTGAGGGGTATCATTGTTTTTGTCCTGGCTGGTTCTGCTTGCTTGTCATAATTATGTTGTGCCACAATTCATAAGCAAATCCTAATTTCGTTTTCAGTGGTTTATTTATTTCATTATTATTATTATTATTATTATTATTATTTATTTTTATGATTTTGGTGGGTGCGGGGACAATTTTTACTTATGTCAGTCATTTCAGTGACCCTTCTGGGGTTGTCTTATTCTTTCACGAAAGGGTATGAAGAATTGTGTCCATGTGTAAAAGCCAATTTCCCTTTTCAGAGGGAGTGACGAACATCTCCAACCAGTTGACTATCGGCACCGAGATCTCTGCAGAGCATCCAGAGCTGCGGAGCGTGGCCCGGGCACAGGGCTGGTGGGATGGTGTAGGAAAGTTTAACTTCTCACAAGTGTTCGGCCTTGAGAAGCAACCCGTCCGGATGGAGCTTGCCAAAAAGCGCTATAAGGGGGGTGCAGAGCTACTAAAGCAACATGACGGTGAGGGTTGTAGGCTTTCAAAGCACCCAGAAAAAACAACATTCGTTTTGTTTCGGGCTGTTTGCATTAAAAATGCATTCAAATCTTGAGAGATTAACTTAATGTGACATCCTATAAGCATTTGAATGCACATGTCCTACTGTTAAATGTTTCAGTACTTTTGCACAAGTTGTTCTCAAACAAAAAGCTTAATGGCAAAATTGACAACATGAATGCGTTTGATCCTTGAATCGACCAATAAATGTCCTGAATCAAGTAGAGCTGATATTTAAACAGTCGTCCTGTTCACATTTTGACATCATCAGACCAAGATGACACCCAAGAATGGCTCATCAGTATCTTGCTGTTGTGATGCTTCAAACAGGAAGTTCTCATGGAAGTGGCCACTGAGCTTAGACTGTCACAGAGTGTCATTGGCAGGTTGCAACAGAGATACAGAGAGACTGGAAGATTCACAGAAAGATGTAGAGGTGGACGTCCTTTGGCCGCATCCTATGCTGATGACCGCTACATTGTGAACAATTCCCTGAGAAACCAGAGGGTGAATGCCACTCAACTCCAGGCGCGTTTAAGGGCGGTGAGAGGCACCCAAGTGTCATGTCAGAACATTCAAAATCAGGGTGGTCGGTGTGCAAGACATCCTGCGAGGGGTACCTGACCACACCACCGGGCACAGGCGTCATCGTGTTGCATGGGCCAGGGAGCATTTACACTGGAGAAGGGACCAGTGGTCCTTAGTGCTGTTCTCTGATGAAAGTCGATTCACGTTGAGCAGAAATGATGCCCGCCAACGATGTTGGGGACGTCAAGGAGAGCACTATGCATCAGCCACTTTTGTCACCAGACTAGCTTTTGGTGGTGGCGGTGTTACTGTGTTGGCAGATGTGTCCAGTCGGTACAGAACTCTCCTACACTTTGTGAATGGTACAGTGACAAGCCCATCCTACCTGAATAACATTAATCCAGTGATTTTTTTTCCCCAACATGAGCTTAATTTTATCTTCTTGGACGACAATGCTCCAGCATCATCAGGGAAGGGCTGTTGGAGACTGTTGGACCTCTAATGGAATGGCTTGCACTTTCTCCAGACCTGAATCCTATTGAAAACCTGTGGGATCAGCTGAGTTGCTGTGTCGAGGATCGAAACGCTGCAAAAACAAAACCTCAATGATCTGAGTGGGATGCCATGCCTCAGCAGAGAATAAGTCGACTTGTGAACAGCATGAGACGCGGTTGTCAACCTGTAATTGATGCTGAAGGGCACATGATGAGTTATTGAGATGTTGAATGTTTTTGTTGTGATGCACCCATCATTATTGTTAACTTTTGTTTCAATGAATTGTTTGAGATATGGAAATCACAATTGCATCCTTCTACTTAAATGTCCTACTTTCATGATACAGTCGAACCTCGTTACAACGTACCACAAGGGACATAACAAATCTGTATGTTATAACAGTAGTCTGCCAACTCTGATGTATAATACAGTATGAATGTTTATAGATGTAACAAAATGATCATGTAATCCATTATAAACTTGGAAAATTGTGTACTGTATATGACGAAAAAATTATTTTATAAGACCTGAAACAACTGGCCATCGGGAACTTCGAAAAAATATGATAATTTTACCAAATGGCAGTCCTGGGCATCATGGCCACCCCCTTTCGATGCATGACAGCTCCCCACCTGCACATCTAAGATTGTAAACTTGAATGGGTTTGCTTGTCTTTCCCTGACATTGTCATGGGGTAGAAAGACTTTGGAAAACTGTGTTGACTACTTACAGTATTCTCTGTGCTAAACTTGTACGATTGGATTATGCAGTAATAAACAAGTTTTTTCCTGTATTTTTTAGGTTCTGTTACAGCAGAAGTGATGATGTCTATTCTGAGGGACAAGCCCAGTGGCATCTGCATGGACTCTGGGGGGTTTTGCACCACAGGCAGTATGGTGTCGATACTCCCCAGAGACGCCAGCCTGCCCTGCATCCACTTCTTCACTGCTACTCCAGACCCCTCCCGGTTTGTCATCTACAAAACCCCCAAATTACCCAAACACATATTCCAAACATACTGAAAACAACAACAACAACATTCAGACCCTAAAATAGACAAGAAAGAAATAGCAAAAACCGGAGGGAAAAAAAACCTCTCGGCCGGTAAGCTAGGTTTTTGGCAATTTATATGACGAGACTAAAGGCCTTTGGATTGGCAGACTGGGGTGGTGGTCCCACTTTTTAAAAAGGGCAACCGGAGGGTGTGTTCCGACTATAGAGGGATTACACTCCTCAGCCTCCCTGGTAAGGTCTATTCAGGGGTGTTGGCGAAGAGGGTCCGTCAAGAAGTTGAGCCTCAGATTGAGTAAGAGCAGTGTGGTTTTCGTCCCGGCCGTGGAACTGTGGACCAGCTCTACACCCTTAGCAGGGTCCTCGAGGGTACGTGGGAACTCGCCCAACCAGTCTTCATGTGCCTTGTGGACTTGGAGAAGGCGTTTGACCGTGTCCCTCGGGGAGTTCTGTGGGGGGTGCTTCGGGAGTATGGAGTACTGAACCCCCTGATACGGGCTGTTCGGTCCCTATACTACCGATGTCAAAGTTTGGTTCACATTGCCGGCAGTAAGTCGGAATCGTTTCCAGTGAGGGTTGGACTCCGGCAGGGCTGCCCTTTGTTGGCGATTCTGTTCATCACCTTTAGGGACAGAATTTCTAGGCGCAGCCGGAGCGTTGAGTGGGTCCGTTTTGGTGGCCTCAGTATTGCATCTCTGCTTTTTGCAGATGATGTGGTACTTTTGGCTCCTTCAAGCAGGGCCCTGCAACTCTCACTGGAGCGTTTTGCAGCCGAGTGTGAAGCGGTAGGGATGAAAACCAGCACCTCCAAATCTGAAACAATGGTCCTCAGTCGGAAAAGGGTGGAGTGCCCTCTCTGGGTCGGGGAGGAGATCTTGCCCAAAGTGGAGGAGTTTAAGTATCTTGTGGTCTTGTTCACGAGTGAGGGCAGGAGGGAGCGAGAGATCGACAAGCGGATCGGTGCAGCGTCTGCTGTGATGCGGACTTTGTATCGGTCTGTCGTGGTAAAGAAGGAGCTGAGCCAAAGGGCGAAGCTCTCAATTTACCAGTCGATCTACGTCCTAACCCTCATCTATGGTCACGAGCTATGGGTCGTGACCGAAAGAACGAGATCCCGGATACAAGCGGCCGAAATGAGTTTTCTCCTCAGGGTGTTCGGGCTCTCCCTTAGAGACAAGGCGAGAAGCTTGGAGGTGTTTAGAGTCGAGCCGCTTCACCTCCACATCGAGAGGAGCCAGATGAGGTGGCTCGGGCATCTGATTTGGATGCCTCCTGGACGCCTCCCTGGTGAGGTGTTCCGGGCAAGTCCCACTGGCAGGAGACCCCAGGGACGACCCAGCACATGCTGGAGAGACTATGTAACCCAGCTGGCCTGGGAACGCCTCGGGATCCGCCGGGAAGAGCTCGAAGAAGTGGCTGGGGAGAGGGAAGTCTGGGCTTCCTTACTAAAGCTGCTGCCCCCGCGACCCGGCCCCGGATAAGCGGCGGAAAATGGATGGATGGATGGAGACTAAAGGCTGTTCACATATTGAAGCTTTGAGTCTCTTGGTATTACCCACATGTAAAATTAGGAACAACAGATATGAGAAACAGCAGCTCTCTAAAGAGTGCTGTATGTAATCTGTACTATGTATTTGTGAAAACCATTTTTGAAATGATTAGAAAAAGCAGAGATGGGCACTTGACCCGATTTTGTCGGTCTGTCCTCTGTCCTCCGTCTGCGCGCGGGGCACCATTCCATCATCGTCCCTACACCCTTATTCATGAAAGAATCATCCTCCATCCCTGTCTGTCGTGGTCCTTTTAAAGCGCTTTCATTTTTACATTTCACCAATCCGCCATCGAAAAAAAGGCCGTGCATGACACCGTGGGGGAGAGGATAACGGCAGAGGTTTCATAATTCATCAACATTATTTATAGCTGGCTAATTTTCTATTCCATTTACCTTACGGGCATCCACTTCTGGGTTAACAGTTTGACAACCCGCTTGCCTCCACACGTTCTTTGTGCACTTGTCCCCCACATAGCTATGTTTTACACAGTGAGCAGATCTGAACTCTCAGTTAAAGGGCCAATACACGCAACAGGATTACAAGATTTCATTCTGCTCTGAGGGCAAATATTTGAATTCTACACACGCATTTGCACACCCACTCGATCCGCTATTCAAGTCGGCACTCTTTTAAAACTAGCAATAAAAAAAAAGTGTCCAACAGGCTAGCGCACAATTTGATTTATTGTGCAACAATGTGGACCACTTTACACATGAAAATATATTTTATTATTTATTAATTTTTTCTTCATGTTCACCCTTTGCTACTTTTCCTCCTTGGTGGTATACCCCAAGAGGGACTTGTTACCCTTGAGGAAGACCAGCTTGTCAAAGCTGGCACTGGCCAGGGTTGTCCCCCTTGGCCGGAAGATGTTGCTGGCTGTTGAAAAAAAAAAAAACCTCTCCATAGCAGCGCAGCAAGGAAATGGGGTGCTATATTGTCCACCCATGCCTCCCTGTGCTCCGCCGGCGCGTTTCCAACGCAGTACGCGGGGGTGGGTGATCAGTGGCGTCTTTGAAACGTTGCAAGGTACTTTTTGTCCGAAGCACATTTCACCCGAGTAGGTTGAAATTAACTTTTGGCTGCCTTGCATCGAAAACGTGCATAGTTCGTCACACGCATGCCCATGAATAATCAGACGCAGCCGAATTTAAAAAAAAAAAAAACAAAACACCCACATATGGTGCGGAATGGGACCATCTACACAGCCAGCTTTCTGAACAGACTGTATTGTTTACAACAGTTTCAGTGGCAACCAAGATAGCACTTCGCTGCCAACACAATCACTGTCGGTCACCACACTGACTGGCGATGTGGAAATTTTTGGGATGGAGGTGCGTGTTTCTCTCATTCGTTCGTAAAATGGGTGCCTGTAGGTACTTGACCCTGTTCGGGACGATTACAGGGTCGGACGAAAACCCACTTCTATCCTTGGTTTAGTCTTTCCTTTCTAAAAAAAACTTCGTGTCCTCCGTCCCCAAAATGGGCGTCCGTCTGGGATGGACGGAGGGACCGTTTCATCCCAGGGACAGAATTCCCATCTCTGAGAAAAGCTTTGTTTATTTAAATCCACACGGAAAAAAAAATAAATCAAGATTTTAAAAAAGCTATGCAATTCAGCAGTTTCCTTGTTCACAGTTTGCTTGCTGCTGCGTTACAATGGAGATTGGGAAAAAGCCGACAAACTAATTTGTTCCTATTCATAATACTAAATTAAGAGAAAGCTCAAACAGATACAAAATAGCATTGTTGCTCTTCCATTACAACAGGCACCAATCAATTGGGGCGGCATCAACAGAACTAGGCAAGCCACCACTGCACAATGCACACTTGTAGCGTGTGGGGTTCTGCCATAACATTTCATGAGTTGGTGAGTCTCGGCCACTGGCTTTGTTGCGTGGTGTGGAGATGTCCCAACTGGGCCGCTTCTCCGAGTTGCTGCCAATGGGTGCGACTTGTTGTCTTCACCCTTGGTGTCCGAAGCCCTTTGGCAGCCGCCCCAACTCGCCGCTCATGAGCCGGGCGACTGCCAAGGCTCCGGGCTGCAGCTTCGGATGCCAGAGAGTGACGACGATGAGATGAAGGTGGCAGCAACATTTTTACTACAATCTTCACTATTTCATCCATTGATACGTATGAAATCATAAATATGGTTAAGTATTGTTGTAAAACGCACTATGCGTGCTATATATACTGTATTTTTATGAATTGGTGTATCGCAAAATAAACGCCTACATTTGTTGGCCAATCAGACATCAGTGATGTCGCGGCCCTGCTCAGCCTACATATTATAACCACCTTGGAGGAGGCTTTGAAAAGCAGTTCCACTGTAACCGCAAGGCCCTGAAAAACTGTAATGGAGCTCGACTACTCAGGAACGGATACAATGCAAAAGTGGCTTTTGACTGTGCTTCAGCATTAGTGAGTTTATTTGTTTTTCCTTTCTCCATTTTTGTCATATTTCCCTACCCCCATCCTCCTTTGCACTCCCAGGTCCATATTCAAACCTTATATCTTCTCTGAGGATTACACCCCCGTGCTTCAGGTGGTCTCCCCGCACTTTGGGCCTGTCAGGGAGCAGCCGCGCTCTCAAGTGGATCGCAGACATGACCTTTACAAGGCTCACCAGGAGGCACTTAACACCATGAAGACTGATCCGGTATGTCAATTGCATGTCTAGTAGTTGAAAAAGCAAAGTACAGAATAACACTGACTGAACCTCCTTGTAAAGATAGAAAATAAAGAAATTGGTTTACTTTACACATAAAATGGGCAGGACCACTGGTTAGCATGACTGCCTCGCAGTGCAGAGGTGAAAGGGTTCAATTCCAGAGTTTGTATGTTTTCCCCATGCCTGCGTGGGTTGTCTCTGGGTCCTCCGGTTTCCTCCCACATTCCAAAAGAACATACATGGCAGGTTGATTGGGCACTCCAAATTGTCCTGAGGTGTGATTGTGAGTGTGAATGGTTGTTTGTCTATCTGTGCCCTGCGATTGGCCAGCAACCAGTTCAGGGTGTACCTCACCTATTGCCTGTAGACAGCTGGGAGGAGAAGCGGATTAGAAATGGATGGATAGATGGATAAACATACAATGCATTGCTCACATGTACAAGTACACCAAACTTAAACAAACAGTAGTAAATATTCAAAGAAGAAGGATCATTGTTCAGTGTTTTGTCGAATATTGGCATAAGCTACAAACAACTGCGTGTATTTGACACACAATAAGTGCAACATCCATTGTGTTATTATGTAATGACTCGAGGAAAACATTTGAAATATTTATAGAAACAATTTAGCAAGGTTGCATATTCCTGCCAACAAACAAACCAAAAAAAACAAAAAAACAGGACGCATAATAATGAGTCCAATTTTTCATGTTTGTTGTATATCTCTTTTCTTTCTCTGGGCAGGACAAGGGCTTAGCCATCTATGGGATTCTGAGGAACCTCGAATCGCAGTGTTTGAGTGAGATTTCAGCCATGTTGAGTGGAGAGATACCAGGCGATGAACTGGGAAATTTGTTTTTTGATTGTGTGGACACAGAGATCAAGTTCTATCAATGACAGGTGGGAGAAGCGGCTGGTTTGAAACTAAATTTTCTAGTACACTTTGGAAGATTGGGCTGTTCAACAACTTTCCTGACAGGAGATTAAAAATGACAATCTTCATCAAATATTAACTCTGTACATTTAGTTATGAACAACAACAATAGAGCACCCACCCGATCAAGTTGGAACTGTTAGTCAGGTTAAAGGTCACTGTTTATGGTGTCAGCGTCTTAATCTCTGTGTGTTCATGAAGCTGTCATGTATGATGATCAACTGTTTTGTCTTATAGCGACTTCAACCAGCTCATTTCTACCAGTGCAGAGTGTAAGGAAAGGCCACGGAGAGCCTCTAGGAACGTTTATCCTCCAACTTGCCTCTGCCTCACTGTATACATTGCTGATACCATTATATCATCACTTAGGACTAGATGTTTTAAAATGTCTGATCATCATTTCAACCTGGGAGCAATGACCTCTGTAGTGTTAAGAATGCGGTAGATGGCACATGCAGTAATGTAGCAGTGGTTTTACATTTCACTCTTGTATGGGGTATGTTGAAAGTAGGATTTGTTGTTGGAAAACAATGGGTTTTCATGCGATGGCAACATGGACAACATGAAATGAAGACTGCTTAGAATGACACCTGTTTGGGTTCTATGTCTCAACAACAACAGAGGAAGCAAAACGAGTTCGAGGAAATCAGCAAAGCGGAAGGACGGTCACCATAGTCTAAATTAACTTTTTTTTTTTGCAAAGTATGAGAAAATAGCATGAAGTGTAAATTTCCTATATTTTATTGCTGAAGTCAACTGCACATTTTCAAGGTAGAAAAAAAAAACGGCTGTTGTGGTCAAAAGTGCTTCTTGGTGTTAGAGGAAACAAATACATGAAGAATTGTGAAATTGTGAAACATGGAAAATAGAGAAGATTAAATAAAATAACATTTATTACCAGAGATGGGCACTTTACCCTATTTTGCTGGTCCGGCCTCCGTCCGCGACCTGGGTACCCTTCCGTCATCGACCCAACGTCCTTATTCATATACTGTCATAATCAACCCCTCGTCCTTTTAAAGCGCTTCTGTCCCTCTAAATAAACCCTACCGTACCTAAACATAATGAGGAAAAAAAAGTGAAAAAAAAGGCTTCTTCCAACTACTATTCCTCTGCTTGACTGACCTGCCTTGACAGAGATTTACAGGTATTTACATAGGTTGTGCAACAGGTTTCGAGATATGCCAACAGAGTCTGCATAAAGTGCCCAACTATCAATTTGTGACTGGAAAACGGTTCGCAATAGTTACCATACACAAATCAAGCACTAGCTAACATTCACTGGTGGGGGAAAGGCTGGAGAGGAGAAACAGTGCAAGCGGCGTGCTTTTTAAATAGGTCAGTGGACCCACTCCTGAACCAATCGCATGCTGGCAATCAGGTAGGGCTTCATGGCGCGGACACGGTGCTCCTGGAGGAGGATGAGCATGGTGTTGATCACCCAATTTGCTACTTTTCTAAAAATGTTTAAAAACACCAGTTTCACTACAGCACCATTGAAAAAAAAGGACTGGCATTGTTATTGGCTTTACAGTATTTTGAAGTATACATTGGGTCCAGCTCTAGTCCAACTGTGATATTTTCTGACCTCGAGCCTCTTATGTTTTTGTCTCGGATGCAGAATAGTAAACCAACGCCTGACGTGCTGGTCCTTATTACGCCAAGATTTCAATACTGACATTTGTTATAAAGAGAGAATAGGGGGTAAATGTCAGATTTTTGTCGCGTTTGTTGACAATGTTGGTAATTTGTTTTGTATCTATGTTGTGCTGCTATGTCCTCTCTCTTCTTAGTGTGTGTGTGTATTTGTGTTTGATTGAATGGATGAGGAGCTGTCTGCTCCTCAAATTGGGTGATAAACACCATGCTCATCCTCCTGCAGGAGCACCGTATCAAAGAATACTGCATCCATGTGAAAAAAACAAGAAAAAAAAATCACAAAAATGGCTACATTTTCTCTTAGATGTGGGGGTGGCCAGAGAGTTACAAGGGGCCCTTGAACAATGGCGTTTTCGCAGTAGAGATGGAAAATGCCGTGGAAAAAAATCAATGTATTCAAGTTCGACAGACTTAGCATGTGGCAGCCTAAGATAGCTGCCGGTAGCTTCACAAGTAAACTGCATTGTTTGTCCATCCAAAAGTAGGTCTGTGATTCCAGCTCGTCATTGCCCACTTTGAAGTGTAGTCTAGTAGATATATAGTCGAAAAAATATTTTAGTAGAAATACAACAAGAACTCTTTAGAATTCAGATGGTTGATTAGTCGGTGGTGTTTAAACTTAGTAAATCAGAAATTAAAGGTATTGTGAAACAGAAAATGAAGGAAAAGTGGCAAAAGCAAAGGGACAAAGGAAATGGAGATGATATAACAGAATACAGAGGAAATGTGAAATGAGGAAAGTGGGGAACAGAAAGGATGAAAAAACAGAAGCCTGTTTAGAATGGACAAGCAAGATAGAGGTAAATGTACCTATGGGGAATTTCAATCAGTTAAGCATGTCTTATTTTGGGTGTGAGAGGTTTAGGTTGAGAGATATTTGATCGTAAGATTATTGAGGGTCGCGGGCGTGCTGGAGCCTATCCCAGCTGTCTTCAGGCATTGGGTCTGGTACACCCTGAACTGGTCACTAGCCAATAGCAGGGCACACATAGATGAACAATCATTCACGCTCATGCTCACTCCTATGGACAATTTAGAGTGTTCCATTAAGCTGTTGTTGATTTTTTTTTTACTTAATTTAATGTATTATTATTATTATTATTATTATTATTATTTTTAATATGGGAGGAAACCGGAGTGCCAAGAGAAAACCCACACAGGCAGGCCGGAGCCGGAATCAGTTGCTCACTAAGCCGCCCCATTCAAAATCTATTTTCGTAATTTTCCAATGCAGAAACCAGAGTACAGTACAGTACTGTACTTGTATTTGCAGTTAAGACTGTTGCTTCATGTTCTTTATTTAGAAGTTTTGTTTAAAACCCGCCCTGGCTCTTTTTTGTTTATCTCTCTTCATACTGTATATGTATTGATAACTTGTTTGGCTTGTTTTCTGTGATTTGTAATCTGATTTGTACAATGAAGATTGTTCAAAAGAAGGAAGAAGAAGGCACTCCATCCAATAGGCGGCGATAGAGGCGTAATATCAACAGACTTCATCCGATTGTTTACAGCGCTTCAAACGGTGCGTTGGCGTTCACCACTGCCATCAGTATAACCTTGCAATTTGAGTGCAAATCATTTGCTTTTGTTCAATTATCGAGTGACCACGAGTGGCCCGTCTTCAATTGTCACCCAAGTGTTGTCGGACGGAAAGGTAATTTGTGAAATCCAAGTTAATTTGTGAAATGCTAAGTGCCGAGTATTGCTAGCTAACCTGGTCTCCTAACTGATCTTTAACGTCATAGAATGCAGCTCAAAGTTAACTGGAACCGAGCAATAGTTGCGGGATAAATGATTCTGTAATTAGTAATGTTATTACCTGAGTTTCGAGCCGACGAATGCAAATGCAAAGCTTCAGAGCCCATAGTAAGGATCTGTGTAAAATTGTATAAATTCATTGATTTACACGAGGTCAGCATTATTAGACTTTATTTTAAAGGCAGAGAAAACCCACGCAGGCTCGGGGAGAACATGCAAACTCCACACAAGAAGGTTGGAGCTGGGAACGAACCCTCCACTTATGCACTGGGAGGCAGACGTCCTAACCAGTTCACCCCCATGCCGCCTAAGGCATAAAAATAACGTCTTTAATAGGCATTTATTGAAATTCACAGAGGAAGCAATGGAAAATATGAGCAGTGGCGGGTCGGCATAACATCACAAACGGCCTTGCCTGTGGACAGTCCAAAATATGTGGGTGTGGGTCACACAATTTACATCACATTTGGCAGAAGCATAGAAAAACAGAAAATAAAGATGCACTTATGAATTTGAAAAATAGTTCTATTCGCCTTAAGGTTTTTGAGGTGTATTTGTCAACTATAGATTCTGGAAATTAGTCAAGTATTATAGCGCATGTACTTGCACTTTATAAAAATTTTGAAGTTGTGATCAAGACCATGACGTGGTTCTACATCATCAGTAGCTGTGTTTAGTGGTAAGGTGAATAATACAAATGCAGTGATACATGGAAAACAATGTTTTCATCTCTCACCATCAAGAGTGTGGCTGCTTGTGACAGCCAGTCAGCGGCGGATACACACAAACTGTGCCTCCCAATGATAACTGTAATATATACTTAACCTCCCATTGAATGTCGGTAAATGCTTGAATGGAAGCACAGCAACCTGGGATTGAACGTGGGGTTCTTGAAATAATTCATTTGACAATGGTGTGTTTGTCTTCCTCCAATCTACACTTTTAATCCGGGTTCACTTTTCTTCCCCTGTAGTTTTTGCCGTTGTGTCACATGCTGGAGTTGCCGCGTGAAGATGCACTCAAAAAGACCTGAGTATGGCCAAAGGCAGACCCATGGTGACAGAGACAGAAGATGGAGGGATGAATATGATAAAAGACAGGAAGAGAGGTATGAATACCATCGAAATGGACAATGGGATTCCTATCATCATCATGGTCGAAGTGGTTCTGGCAGAACAGAGAGAAGCAGCATAAGTACAGACTACAGCGACTCCCCTCAAAAACGGTACTCTAAAGACTCCCTGGTCAGAGACAGAGATGCAGATAGGAGGAGCCCAGTGAGGGGACGCTTGTCCTCTCCGGACAGGAGGATTGCTGAAAAGAAAAGGCGAAGGTTCACAGATGACAGCCGCGATGCCTACAGCTACGGATTTGAGCCTGATGGCAAAAAATATAGGCAGTCGCCAGATCATTTTCCAAGGGATTATAAACATCCGTTGCCTCAGGAAGTCAGAAGGAGTATGCAAGATTCTAGAATCCATCACAGACATGAAGAGTTTACTTCCAGGTACCACCAGCCCTATGATTCCAGTCAGAGACAGCTGTCGACGCATAACAAAGCGAGAGAGGATCAAGGAAGAAATCACAGTTGCTCACCGGAAAGGAACCTTCCCCAAGATGACTCAAAAAAGGTAAAACATTTGGATCCAGAGTGAGAAATGATCAATTTTTCATTTGTAATAATGTAATCTGATTTATGTCGGTGAATAGAGAGATGTCAAATCCAGAGAAAGGAAGAATAGCTCTCCTGCATACGGTACGGATCGAGCAAGGAATTATTTGGATGCATCTAAAAGACAGGTAAGTTGATCTCACACAAGGCAAGTCTTACTACAATACGAAAAACACTTAATGAAACATTGTTGGCATTTAAGTCCCAAACCTGGCACCCAATGCAGCGAAGCAGTTGTTGCATAACTCAAAACAAACTGCTGTGTCGAAGTTTGCCTTCACAAAGATAAGAATGCTCAGTCTGCAGTACAGCATGACAGAAAGTGCACTTTTATATCATTTCAAAGTCAGCAAACAACGTCCAACTTGAATACAAGTGGCTTACTGATGATTTGGAACAAATTTGCTGGAGCTGTGCTTGGATGCACACACGCACACATGCACGCACGCAGGCACGTGTGTGTGTGTGTGTGTGTGTGTGTGTGTGTGTGTGTGTGTGTGTGTGTGTGTGTGTGTATATATATATACACACACACACAAGTGCACTTTTTTCTTCCGTTCCCATGAGTGTATAAATCTAAATCTATTAAACATTCTTAATATGATGAGAAATATAAAAAAATATTTCTAATCCTCATCTTAAAAAAAAAAAAAAGACATTACATGTTTTGGTGTTAATCTGTTAATTCGCTTAACCCGTTCATGCACCCTGTAACCTGATAACATGATAAGCTGTCCACTTTAGTAACCGCTTTCCTTGAAAGGGTTAATGCGTTGCATTAGTTTATGGTCCGATCCGTCACGTCAAATAAGGCAGCGGCGCTGATGTATGCAGCAGCAAGTAAACTCGGCTAAGGTGGCGAGTGAATGAATGCATTCACAAGTGCTTAGTTTTTCTTTTTTCTTTTTAACAGTCTCAAACAAGTCTTGGTATTGTCTATCACTTTGTCTTCTCAATTAAATTCCCAAGTGACATGAAGCTAACTTGATGTGTAGCCAGTTCAACTGTGCTGTTCTGTTAGTGATGTCTGTAGTATTCAGAGTGACAGACGAAGTTAGTGGTTGCGTCTCTTATTGTAAAGTATTTTCTTTTTCTTGATTTTGTCAAAACACAATCCTTGATTCAGAGATGAAAGTCCTCCGGATTTTCCCGGAATTCCGGGTTTTTCAAATTTTTATGAAAATCTCTCCGGAGAATTGAGGAAAATTTGCCTAAAATTAATCCGGATATTAGTTGACAGCATTGAACGAAGACGCGTTTGAGTTCGTTGTTTTGCTTTCACGAGTGTAGCCATATTGAGGCTCTTACACGAGTAACAGTTAAAAGATTTTTGTTTGTGTAATAATGACACAAGATATGATGGCATTTGACTTGTGCTTTTGTAGAACGAATGGCAACTCGCAACAACAGTTGCAAGCAGAACTTTGCCTCTTGGGTAATACCATCTCAACTAGAACGGGGGTGTTGTTCCCAAACAATTTTCGTCTCTTTATGAACACACTTGTTCTACCCCAGTGGAATGAATAAAAGACGCCGTGGCCAAGACAGTTTTTGTCGTGAAAAATATATTTGGACAAAAAGGGAAACATACAGATTGGCAGAAAAATGTGTCCGTCTGACTTCGAGTGTCGTCTCGGCTAGCTTAGCTGTTGTCGTGTGTGACGTCGGGTGTGTGACGTCGTTGCGTCGGCGCTGATTGGTTGAAATCAAAAGATGCGCTTGCGTACATGTTCGCGCTGAAGCACGCACAGCAGAGAGCAGCGGACTATCTACTGCTGAGGCTCGCTTAGCTTGAGTGGCGTCGCCACAACAGTAATACCCTTGCCTCGCATTCTCATGGCCTCGCCATATCTCGGAGATTTCGAAATTTCGGCGAGAACGGAAGCCACAAAGGGTGCACGTGTGCACACAAAAGGAAGATTAATCATTGAATGTTGAGTATTTGAATAGCGTTTTGTGTAAACTAATTCATGCGTGATCAGCCAGGTGTGTGTGCGCGCGCGCGCGCATGTGTGTGTGTGTGTGTGTGTGTGTGTATGTATATATATTTTTTTTCCCGGAATTTTCAGAAAAGTCCACTTCCATCTCTGTTGATTCTTCTTTTTGTAATCATCTTCAGAACCTCTCACATAATATTCGCTTCGTTGGGCGGCATCTACTCTCCCCGTTTTAACGTAGTGGTGGATATTAGGTTTGTGGCACATAGCGACACGAAAATAAGGACTTTTCTTTCATTCTTCAAATAAAAAAATGCAACTAAAACAGCATGATTTGGCACCTCGTATACATTTGAAACCAGAAGTTTACATATGCTATATCAAAAAAGAGAAGTTCTCTTTTCCTCACTGTCTGACATGATCCCAGAATAAGCTTTTCCTTTTTTCGGTCAAGTTGGTTTACTAAAATTATTTCAATTTGCTTCATGCCATAATCATGAGAAAATCTTTTTTTTTTCTTCTTTTTTACAATTTTTCATTGCCCTCTTCAAAGTCCAAAATTATATATAGGAAGATTACTTTGCCTTTAAAAAAGAACTTTGAAAACAGATGATGTCATGTCTTTGGAAGGTTCTGATTAGTTTGAGGACAACATTTGAGATAATTAGAGCCACGCTTGTGGGTATATTTGAAGGCACACCTGAGACACACTGCTTCTTTGTGTCACATCATGAGGAAGTCCAAAGAAATCAGTCAAGATATCAGGGAGTCAGTCGTGGACTTGCCCAAGTCTGGTTCATCCTTGGCTGCAGATTCCAGATCCCTGAGGGCTTGCGTTCATCTATTCAGACAATAATACATTCGTATAAACCTCATGGGACTATCCAGCCACTATAATGCTGAGGAAGCAGATGGGTTCATTGTCACCGAGATAAACGTGCTTTGCTCTGAATTGTGCGCATCAACCCAAGAACAAAACCAAAAGATTTTGTGAGATGCTGGCTGAAGCGAGTTAGTGTCATTATCCACCTGATACCATGACTCTTTAGGTCATGTTGGCAAATAGAAGCCATTACTCCACAAGAAACAAACAAAAAATATTGATCACAGTCTGCAAATGCACACAGGAACAAAGACCTTCATTTTTTGGAGACATGTCATGTGGTCTGACGAAACAAAAATTGGAACTGTTTGGCCAATTATGAGCATCGTTGGATTTGAAGAAACAAACTGGGGAAGCTGACAAGCTCTATAACACCAGCCCACCTGTTAAATACAGGGCTTGCAGCATCATGTTCTGGGTTTGTTTTGCTTAGGCAGGGACCGGTGCACTTCACAAAATAGATGGTGTCACAAGGAAAGAATATTATGTGGAAATACAGACATCAGCCAGGAAGTTAAAGGTCGCGTGCAGATGGGTCTTCCCAATGTATAATGACTTGAAGCATACTGCCAAATCTGTGAAAAGGATAGCGGTGAATGTTTTCGGTTGGCCATCACAAAACCCTGATCACACTCGTATTAAAAATGTAAGAGCAGAGCTGAAACAGCATGTGCGAGCAAGGCGACTTGCAACCTTGACTCAGTTAGACCATTTCTCTCGGGAGCAATGGACCACAATTCCTGGCAAATATTGTGAGAAGCTTTGTGGAAGGATTTCCAGAACGCTTGACCCAAGTCATACAATTTAAGGACAATGTCATCAAATAATAATGAAATGTATGTAAACTTCTAATTCTGAAGAAAATAATTGTTTACAAACAAAAAAAAACATTCTCATGATTCTGGTATTGAGCAAATGGAAGTAATTTTGATCATCATAAATGACCTGGAACAGGAAAAGCTTAGTTTGACACGATAAATGTCGTACATGGGGGGGGGGGGGTCTTTTTATGTCGTGTATGCGAAATTCAGTCATAGCACAAGCCAAAGTCATGACGAGTCTTGCATAAGTTTTGGCCTAGCAAGCCTTCAAATTTGTGGCAGAAGTCTGACTTGTAATAATTAAAACAGGTACGTTTGTAAATGCTTGTGGAGGCTCTCAGTCGTACAAGAAAGTTCCATCGTAGAAAGGGTTCTGTCAGTCGTCATCTGTACCTGTGGGTAAAAAACAAAACAAAAAAGGACGTTTCGCTTCTCTCACGTCCTTTTTTGTTTTGTTTTTTGTTTTTTACCCACAGGTACAGATGACGACTGACAGAACCATTTCTACGATACGTTTGTAAATGGTAAACCATGAAGTTGGGGTTTCATTGTATTTTGGTCCTCTTTCCAAATTAGGCAACCAAAGTATGACAGTTAGGTGTGTATTACCGAAAAGCAAAACCACCAAAATACCGTAAGGCGGAGAAAAAAAGAGTCGTGTGTTTCCGGTAACCCGACCGACCGAGAATTTCTACGTCGAAAAAAAACTTTACTGTCGGCATTTTTTTCAAACAACCCTCTACATTTTTGTGTAGAGGGTTTACATCGGTGCAAACTCTCACAATATTCACGTTGAGCGCGTGCATGCGGCTGAGGAGGACGGCGTGCCCCGGCCCCCTGAGTCCGGAGCGGGGAGAAAACTAAATAGGTGGCGGCGGGGCGGCGCGGGGGTAGGGGACGGTGTCGGGTGCGGGGTTGGTCGGTGCGC